TTTCACCGAAGATATGAAGTCACCCAGGTTTTAACAGACATGAAGGTGAGTAAATGATGACAGAATGTAAATTTTTTTGGTGAACTATCCCTTTAACAAGGAAATGCAGGGGATTGTCATGTGGCATGTAAATGAGATGATGAAGCCAGAGCATGACTGTTGCTCATTTTGGGTCATTTAATTGGCATTTTGCATGGTTCCTATTCACATGCTTATTTAGATCACTGGTCTGACTTCCTCTCTTTAGCTAAGTCTGTTGTTGATATTTTAAATGTCAGCTAATGAAACATCACACCAATAATTACTAGCACTGTGAGGCAGGCTACATAATAGCCATGACAAACCATGATGTAATGGGTAACCTGACTATTTTTTGCATTTATTCAGTGAATATTAAAATTTTTGATTCTTTCCATTACAGCTTTTCTTTCACCTCCAAAAAGAGCGGACCTTTCCTGAACCCAGAGCAAAGTTTTACATCGCTGAGATGGCAAGTGCTCTGGGTTATTTGCACTCTCTTAACATTGTTTACAGGTAAATGCAGCTTTACTACAGGATCAGTTGTCTATAAATACACAGGTTTGGTGATTCTCGGATGATGTTTAGCTGTTAAAGTGTGTGAGAATTCCCAGAGGCAGAGGAATGTTTAACGGACACATTCTACACCTCCTCCCTCTTATGGTTTTCCCAGTTGCTGCCCAGAATGTATTTGAGAAATTTTGATTGGTGAACTGGCTTATCTGTTGTCATTTAAAATTACACTCACGTATGAAATGGCCATCATGAGAACATAGTTTGCATTCATAGGGTGTGACGCTATATGACCGCAAGGAATTGCTCTTCATATTAATTAAATGCATTATGAATAGATTGTCTTGTCATATTATAATACCTATAATTCATTGTTACGATTTTTTCTGTGTAAAGTTCTGTGTAATGTTTTTTTTTTGTTGAATTGTTCCTGACTGGAAACATATGACAAAATGTCAACAAGTTAAGTGTTCTTGTGTTCCCAGGGATTTGAAACCAGAAAATATCCTGCTGGACTCTCAAGTAAGTACCCCTCTTTTTTCCACACTTTTATCATTGCCAGAGCGTAGCCGATCAACGTTGAGAGTTCCAGGGGAAACAGAGTAGTCTACCCTTGCTGTGAAGTATAACAAACTGTTCTGATTTCCCGAGACGAGATGTACAAAGTGTAGCTTTGGCCAGCCAAATTAAATATTGCAATGAAACTGAAGACTTATTTTTAATTTGTATGAATGCTTCAAGTTTTACTTGTGCATTTCCTATCGAATCTGATGAAACTGTGAGGTTACAAGGCCCTGGCAAATATTCCAGTCAGACACAAGATTCTTTGGCTCTGTGAAGAATAGGCTTTTTGTGTGATGACATGCTTCCTGAAAGTGTTCCTGTTGGCATCTTTTGTCTGTTAAGGGACATATAGTCTTGACTGACTTTGGACTGTGTAAGGAGGGCATCTCCCAAGCAGACACAACGACCACATTTTGTGGGACACCTGAGGTATTCCAAACACAAATACAATGGATGAATGATGCTTACATTACAGTTCGAACGTTTGGAGTCAGTAGGGTTTTTTAATAGGAAATTAATACTGTTATTCAGGAAGGACACATTAAATTGATCATTAAAGACATTTATAATGTTAGAAAAGTACATTTTTATTTGACATAAATGCTGTTGTTTTGTTCTCTTTCAAATATTCAGGGAAAAAATGTATCACAGTTTCCACAAAAATATTAAGCAGCACAACTGTTTTCAATTTTAATAATAATAAGAAATGTTTCATGAGCACCAAATCAGTATATTAGAATGATTTCTGAAGGATCATGTGACACTGAAGACTGGAGTAATGATGCTGAAAATTCAGCTTTGCCACCACAGGAATAAATTACAATTTAAAATAGATTTAAATGGAAAACAGTTATTTAAAATTGTAATAATACTTCACAATATTACAGTTTTTACTGTATTTTCTATCAAATAAATGCAGCCTTGGTGAACATAAGAGACTTCTTTCAAAAACAGAAAATCTTACCAACCCCAAACTTTTGTGTATTGCATGTTTTCAATTATATGTTTGAAAAGTATTTAACATATTACTGTGATGCTATAGTAAATATCTTTTTAATTAGTTGTTGAATTTAAAAATAACTACTTACCGTGATTCTTCTTATTAAATTGTTACTGATTTTCTCATTGCGCTTTCCTAGATTAACCTCATTACATTTTCAGAAAATTAACTGCAAATAAACTTTAAGCTTTTGTAGAGTAGAATAACACAATCATTTTAACACAATAATTGCTGTCTCTCATTGTCACAATAGTATCTAGCTCCAGAGGTACTCAGGAAACAACCCTATGATAACACTGTGGACTGGTGGTGTCTGGGTTCTGTGCTGTATGAAATGCTTTATGGCCTGGTAAGTTACAAATAAACCATAAATTTGGATAGTCGTCTCTGAAAATGTAGGCAATGAAGCTTAAATCTTGTTTTACCTTTATGTCAACAGCCTCCGTTCTACAGCAGAGACACACATGAGATGTATGACAACATTCTTCACAAGGAACTTATCATGCGCCCCGGGGCATCCACAGCTGCCTGGTCCATCCTTCAGGCCCTGCTGGAGAAAGACCACACCAGGAGGCTTGGCTACAGAGATGACTTTGTGAGCTATTTAGTACTGATATATCACCCCCTGGTGGATGACTTTGTTAAATACTTCGATAGCACCTCAATAGGATTTCTTAGTTTCCTATAATATATTACATTCAAGCAGGAAATGTTGAATTGAAAATATCTTGGAATATTAAAAAGGCCTTATATGTTATGTCCCATTTGTTGCAGAATGAAGTCAAAGGACATGAATTTTTCTCATCTATTAACTGGGATGACCTTGAACAGAAAAAGCTTCCTCCTCCATTCAACCCTAGTGTGGTAAGACTTAGTTCAACCAAAAATGAAAAGCTGCTGAAAATTTACTCATCCTCAGGCTATTCAAGATATAGATTAGTTTTTCTTCATCGGAACAGATTTGGAGAAATTTAGCATTACATCACTTGCTCACCAATGGATCCTCTGAATGAGTGCCATAAGAGAGTCCAAAAAGCTAAGAAAAATATCACAGTAATCTAAAAATAATCCACACGACTCCAGTCCAGTCCATCAATTAGTGTCTTGTGATATGAAAAGCTGTGTGCTTGTAATAAAGAAATCCATCATTAAGACGTTTTTAACTTCAAACCTAAAAATACGAGTCTATTCATAATATTGCTCTCTCCAGTGAAAAAGTAATCTCTTCTGAATCAGGAGAGAATCAGGAGACTCTCATTCTGACGGCACCCATTCACTGCAGAGGATCTATTGGTGAGAAAGTGATGTAATGTTAAATTTTTCCAAACCTGTTCCGATGAGGAAACAAACTCATCTTGGATGGCCAAATGGTAAGTTAATTTTCAGCAAATTTTCGTTTTTGGGTGAGCTATCCCTTTAACAACATAACTATTTTGCTAAAGTTTCAAAAACGTACTGTATGCATAAGTGTATTAAAACATTCAACTCTCTAATGTTGCAGGAATCCCAGTATGACATCTCAAACTTTGATCCCGAGTTCACAGAGGAAACCGTACCAAACTCTGTGTGCTTCTCTTCAGGGCTGTCAATCGTCAATGCTAGTGTTATGGAAGCTGATGAGGCCTTCCTGGGATTTTCTTACGCTCCGCCATCAGAAGATTCTTTCCTGTAAGAGTGACGCTGCTAATGGCGATCCACAGAGAGCTGAATGAAACGTCTGTGATCGCTCTCTCTGATGAAAGGGAAGAATTTGCTGAGTGCGATGTCATGATCAGAGGGTGGACCTTTGTGTTTTATAACAGAAGCAGTGCATAAACCTGTTGGGATCCAGGGTGTTTCAAACTTTATTTTTATGCATAAATAACATTATATTTTGTGTAACATTGAATGCCTTCCCTGAGAGCTTAGCTCAGGAGCTGAAGTATTGATGTTTTTTCTTTTTCGTAAGATTTTTTTCAAGGGCTGATGATATTTGTAAACAAAATATCTACTTTGACACATTCCTTGTTTTGCCCCAACTCTTACACTTGATTGCTTACATACTGTGCAGTATATGACCAATTATGTTTTTGTAGTTTAGTCTCTAATTAGAAATTTGCTATGGAAAAAAAAATTTCATATAATGTCAACGCATGCAATTAAAAAAAAAAATTGCTGATTGACAAAATATATATTCAATTTATGCTGTTTACTATGTGTGTGAGTTAGAAAATAGGCAGAACTTTAAGCTGTTTTGAAATCAAAATGAATGTTGATAAACCCTGTAATTGTTTGGGTCATCAACAGCCACAGTACAGTGTGAATTGAACATTTGTGGCTATTTTCATCTTAGATTAGAGTTAATAGCACTTAAATACTGACAATGACCCTGTAATAAACCACTGTTTCATTTCCTGCCCTTTGATTGTGAGATGAGACACCACAGTGCCTACTGACTTATTATATGACCTTTAAATGATGAACTGTACAAGTAAACACCCTTTCTTGAATTACTTGACTGTCGCGTGATTCCTCTCATTTGCATATATTTGCATGTGTTATGGACCAGAGCTTCGCGCCCAGTTACCAAGCCATAACAGTACATTTTACATAATAATATGATAATGTATTTAAATAGGCGTGGTGCCTTACCAAACTAATTTATAATGCAACGCCTTAAAATGTTTGCTCACGCAGGACACATCTCATTTCCATATATTGAGCACGAGCTTCCCGCCCAGTTATTCAGCTGTGCGTTTCGGAAATAAGTTATCCCTTTTCTAAAGAAAGTGATAATAATGTATTTAAATATCTGTCGTGGGTTACCTAGACTTATTCAATACTGCACCGCCTTAAAAATGTTGTTTATATGTTTTAGACGCCTTGTTCGAATCGAGGTTAACATATTTAATTTGGCTCACGCGTTATGCATCTCATTTGCATATATTATACTGAGTTCGAGCTGCTTTCCCTAAAAGAAGCAATAATAATTTATTTAGACAGAAGTGGTGGGTTAAGTAAACACATTGAAGACTGTAAAGTCTTTAAAGGTTTGTTTATAAAGTTGGATGCCTTATTCGTTAATTAGTTAGTTACTTCTACATTTAAATACTTACCTCAGTGAACAGGAGCTCTTGAGGACGTGACACGTCCGGGGTCTACATCCGTTTTTTATCTAAGTTGATTATTACATTTAAATTAAAATAACAAGAACCCATATCTTCATGACTGTTTACACACTGAAAAAGGGAAACATGTCTTTCAGGTGCACAGCAGACAGAGGCCGTGTATCGGTTCAGTTTTGATGTGAATCCCTCAGATGTGCTTGAACTGAACGCCACACTGGGAGACTGTATACTGCACGACCCTGTCAAAGCCATTTCACTCTTTCAGTCAGTGAGTTTCACAAATAAAATATACACAATACCCAACTTATTAGTCTATCAGCCACAGTTTTCTGTTGGTGAAATGTGTGGAAAAGTAAAATAAATAAATAATAATAAAAAAAAGCTATATATATTTTATTGTGCTTAACATATTTACATCTAATCTGTATTTAAACAAACAACTAAGAGTGCAGTGGTTATTTTTCAGGTTTGTTATCGGTCTATAAAAACACTGTCACTTATTGACCACATACAAACAGAAAACCAGGTAAGGAGCATCTTAATTAAATGCAGATTTCACTTTTTTCATGTGTGTGTGTGAGAATATATTTGAATATATATATTCTGTATAGGTTAATGTTGTTTTAAAGCCAACCCACTTGCCACCTTTTCCCAACTATTGTTTGGATCTCTCCGAGTTTCCCCGTGGGTATGGTCCAATGAGACCCTTAGCTTTGGAGGGCCTTGTAATTGCCATGACACGTGTCACCAAATACACACAAGGAGCCAGATTTCTCTGCTCAGAAGAGAAATGCCCTTGCTCTAAAGGTAGGTAATGTTATTAACTTTATGGGCTGTTTTTGTAATTGTTGTCCTACACAATTTGTCAATTTGTCCAAAGGGTTTCAACATATCAGAGTTCATGCACCAGGTGCCACAGAGTCTGCCACAGTTAGGAGCGATTTTACCTGCTTTCTCTGCTCTTCTCCGCTGAAGGAGGATGTGATGTCCCGGGTTTTAGGGGGTGAGACAACATTAGTTAAAAAAAAAAAAACATTAATGGCATTTACCCTGTAATAAACCACTGTTTCATTTCCTGCCCTTTGATTGTGAGATGAGACACCACAGTGCCTACTGACTTATTATATGACCTTTAAATGATGAACTGTACAAGTAAACACCCTTTCTTGAATTACTTGACTGTCGCGTGATTCCTCTCATTTGCATATATTTGCATGTGTTATGGACCAGAGCTTCGCGCCCAGTTACCAAGCCATAACAGTACATTTTACATAATAATATGATAATGTATTTAAATAGGCGTGGTGCCTTACCAAACTAATTTATAATGCAACGCCTTAAAATGTTTGCTCACGCAGGACACATCTCATTTCCATATATTGAGCACGAGCTTCCCGCCCAGTTATTCAGCTGTGCGTTTCGGAAATAAGTTATCCCTTTTCTAAAGAAAGTGATAATAATGTATTTAAATATCTGTCGTGGGTTACCTAGACTTATTCAATACTGCACCGCCTTAAAAATGTTGTTTATATGTTTTAGACGCCTTGTTCGAATCGAGGTTAACATATTTAATTTGGCTCACGCGTTATGCATCTCACTTGCATATATTATACTGAGTTCGAGCTTCTTCCCGCCGCCCAGCTCCAGACTCCAGAGCCAGCGGTGCATTTCAGAGATATGGATGGCCTGCTTTCCCTAAAAGAAGCAATAATAATTTATTTAGACAGAAGTGGTGGGTTAAGTAAACACATTGAAGACTGTAAAGTCTTTAAAGGTTTGTTTATAAAGTTGGATGCCTTATTCGTTAATTAGTTAGTTACTTCTACATTTAAATACTTACCTCAGTGAACAGGAGCTCTTGAGGACGTGACACGTCCGGGGTCTACATCCGTTTTTTATCTAAGTTGATTATTACATTTAAATTAAAATAACAAGAACCCATATCTTCATGACTGTTTACACACTGAAAAAGGGAAACATGTCTTTCAGGTGCACAGCAGACAGAGGCCGTGTATCGGTTCAGTTTTGATGTGAATCCCTCAGATGTGCTTGAACTGAACGCCACACTGGGAGACTGTATACTGCACGACCCTGTCAAAGCCATTTCACTCTTTCAGTCAGTGAGTTTCACAAATAAAATATACACAATACCCAACTTATTAGTCTATCAGCCACAGTTTTCTGTTGGTGAAATGTGTGGAAAAGTAAAATAAATAAATAATAATAAAAAAAAGCTATATATATTTTATTGTGCTTAACATATTTACATCTAATCTGTATTTAAACAAACAACTAAGAGTGCAGTGGTTATTTTTCAGGTTTGTTATCGGTCTATAAAAACACTGTCACTTATTGACCACATACAAACAGAAAACCAGGTAAGGAGCATCTTAATTAAATGCAGATTTCACTTTTTTCATGTGTGTGTGTGAGAATATATTTGAATATATATATTCTGTATAGGTTAATGTTGTTTTAAAGCCAACCCACTTGCCACCTTTTCCCAACTATTGTTTGGATCTCTCCGAGTTTCCCCGTGGGTATGGTCCAATGAGACCCTTAGCTTTGGAGGGCCTTGTAATTGCCATGACACGTGTCACCAAATACACACAAGGAGCCAGATTTCTCTGCTCAGAAGAGAAATGCCCTTGTTCTAGAGGTAGGTAACGTTATTAACTTTATGGGTTATTTTTGTAATTGTTGTCCTACACAATTTGTCAATTTGTCCAAAGGGTTTCATCATATCAGAGTTCATGCACCAGGTGCCACAGAGTCTGCCACAGTTAGGAGTGATTTTACCTGCTTTCTCTGCTCTTCTCCGCTGAAGGAGGATGTGATGTCCCGGGTTTTAGGGGGTGAGACAACATTAGTTAAAAAAAAAAAAACATTAATGGCATTTAAAAAAAAAAAGAAATGAATACTTTTATCCAGCAAGGAATAAATGCAGTGATTAAAAGTGACATTAACAACATTTATAATGTTACAAAATATTTCTATTTCAAATAAATGCTTTTTAATCCACAGATAAACAGCTAGTTGAGCTCATTCATGTGAGAGCAGTGGATGTTTTAGGAGTTCATGATGCTGATTCCTTAAGATATCAGTCTGTCACCCTTTTTCTAAGAGGTAAATGCTTGTTGTATGTTAAATTACCCCTTTATCTTTCTCATGGTATTGCAAATAATCTTTTTAACTAACCATTATGAAATAATCCAGTTAGTTTGTGAATCATCATGCCTGATTAACCTGGTTTTCATAATGTTGAAGCAAAGCTCTCAAATAAATAAACTGCTGAAACACATCCACGCACAATGTCTTTCAGTATTAAATTGGGTGTTCCTGTCTCCTTCAATAATATTTTTCAGTTAGCCAACTGGAGAGACCACAGATTCTCTGGATGCTATTAGCATATTGTGTTGACCTAGTATTAGTCTGGAATTCAATACGTTAGGCTCCAGTTACTGAACATACATGTTAATAAATGTAAGGTACACTCATTAGTTGCTACAACCCATAGTGGAATCATTGTTTAAAAGAGCCTGCAGTGTTTCTCTTGGCAGTTGTGTTGGTGGTGAAAATGTTTCTCAAATAATAAGTGAAGACCAGCTCTCAGCTGTCATTGTTTTGTTTCTCTTAATGTAATTAGATGAACTGTGTAACTCCATGAGAATCGGCCATCTGTACCGAGTTGTGGGGATTCCAGCTCATGTACACCAGTGGCCCAATGTAACCTGGAGCGTAGAGGCTTGCAGCATCCGCCCGTGGACCCCCAAATGTAAAGTCTTGTTTTGACTTTGATGGCATAAATATAACCATACATATTCACAGAATGTCAAAGTCATTTGCTCCTGACTGCCGCTCACAGGCCCCTGTCTGGTTAGCAACAACTTCCAGTACCTTCAGACAGCCTCGGCCTGTTCCCCATGGAAGTTTGCTGCCATTGTAGCCAACTCATTTGGTTCCCCGGTGATCCCACCTGGAATTCACAACACATTAAAACTGGGGCTTCTTCTTAGCTTGGTGCAAACTGAAGATAACCCAGACTCTCCCAACCACCTGGATGTGCTTGCTCTTACCAGTGACACTCTAATCATTGACAGGTCTGGGTTTTTCAAATGCACGTCTCTTTAGATAATGGTCATCAAAATATGATGCATATTATGTGCATATTCATTCACAGGTTGATGAGATATAGCCTGCCATTGGCCTCGCGTGGCATTCATCATGCGCTTACAGGAGAGCTGTTGGCATCTCTATCTAGAGATGAACATGGAGCCGGTACCGCCAACATCCATGCAGGTTCAGCTTTGCTGGCATCTGGAGGTGTCTGTCTGTTGGGAGATCTCACATGCTACAAGAAAGACAAGATGGACATGCTTCAGTCTGGTGCCAATTGTTTAAATTAGTTCTATCACAGATGAAGGCACAAGATAGAATACATCATGCATTTTAAGCAATCAAGCAAAGCAAACCTATTTTTCCCCTCAGCTCTCGAATGCAGAACCGTGTCTGTTTGCATTCCTGGCAAGAAATATGGTGATGATATGGACCAGCACCTCTCCTTCCCAGTCCAGTGCAACTTTTGGGCCCTAGCTGATGCTGCTTCCCCCTCCAAGAGGACAGCCAGATGTGATAATGTGGTGCTGGAATCTTATTTATAGTCAAATGGAGCTTTTCCTCAGGAAATAAGATGGGAATGTTATTCTGGGAATTTTATAAGCATAAAATACACACCACAGGACTGATCAGATGTAGAAGGAATGCAGATCTGCTTCACAGATGACCCCACCTCTTTTTGATTTTGGTGAACAGGAACCAGAGACAATGTCATCTATTTTAGGAGAGTTCCTCATTGTGCTTATTTGTGTCAGCAACCAAATCTCAGTTACTCCAAATTGTCTAAACAATGACTTAAGAGCTATTTTATAGTACTACATCAGTGCTTCTGTATAGAAGTTATGGTTTTGCAGCATCTGCTTATCTTACAGTGATTGAGATTTTTATATAAATGCAGGAAATAGGCTCAGTTCCTCTTCAGCTTGCAGAGTCGTTTGGACTGGTAGTCCAGTGTTGAGAGACAAGCAGCAATCACCCACTCCTGTCTATGACAGTGCATACCCTGAGACAGGCCATGTCCCCAGAAGAGCCCCTATATCCAGCATGTATGCAGTTTACCACACAAGACTATAAAGAGGTCAGTCAATGCACACTTCAGGTCAAAAGTTAATTCATTTAGTTAAAATTATTCTGATGCACATTCTGACTTATGATCCTCTGAAGGATCATGTGACAACTCTTTTAAATGGTAATATTTCACAATAATCCTGTTTTTACTGTATTTTAATAAAATAAACAGCCTTCGTGAAGACTTTTATAAAACAAAGCTTTATTCCAAACTTTTTACCAGTAGTGTACAATCAACTGTAATCGGGCTGCTATTTCTTTAGTAGTTTAAAACATTTAGAGAGAAGTAACTTACATAATGTGGTTAGTTTCAGTTACATGAAAATAGTATTTTTTCCCCAAACTCGAATATTTTCTCCCAGCTTTTGGCTCACGCAAGGGAACTAAAGGTGAACATGAGTCCAGAGGCTGAAAGGATGATCCACAGCTATTACTTGGCCAGTCGCAGGGTTCGGTCAGACTCAGGACAGAGAGCCACTGTCTCGGCCACTTTTGTCAAACTGCTGTAAGCTCTACAAAATCAACATACTGACAGCTACACATGGCTGCTTTTCTTTGCAAAGCACTGCCTTATTATACCACTAGATGGAGCAGTTGTATACAATTCAGCACTTCCAGTTTCCAAATGATTGTCAGCAAACTTTGTGCAACAATATTTACAATACTATATCGGTTTATTTAAAGATACACAGAAGTCTTTAAGACTGTAATATTCAGCTAAGACAGCCAACAACTGGTAGCAAAAAAAAAACAAAAAAAAAATTACAAACCCATTTGGTTATGCAGAAGATCAAACATACAAAAATGACTATTTTATACACAAATGACATTGTTTATTGGTTCTGGCAGGATTGCTCTGGCCCAGGCTCATGCTAAACTCAGTTTAAGAACACAAAATTATTTCCTTCTAAAGTCTGAACAAATGAATACAAAAGTAAAAGTTTCAATGACAATTTATTTCAATATGTACATTTGATCATAACCCATTTACCACTTCATTACTAGTTTATAGTTAGGATCAAGCTCCCGTTACAGTGAGTGCATGATACGGAGTTCGGGAATGAGAAAGTTTGTCTTGGGAATGCAGGGGCCTCTGCACTTGTTTTTCCACCCGATGCAGTGTTTCCCTGTGCCCTCCGTGACCTGGACTCCTTGCACCAGAGGGACCTCATGTTGGAAGAATCCTGCAAGCAGATCTTGCATTTTGTGCAAACCTACGTAACCTGCACAGTTGAGGAATAAATCAAGGTATTACACACAGGAAAAACAACATTCTTCAAAAAATAAAAAAACAACAATAAACATACCAGACTTAATTTATCTGCACTTCTCTGGTCACCCTTTTTTCTAGTGGTAATCTTTGGACCTAGTGGGAGGTAAAGCAGGGCAAATTTAATGCTAGTGAAATCTTAAATGGGGCACGGAGTAATCAACTGTGTGGCTGCTTCAGATAGTCAGTGTCAGCAACCCAATCTGGTCTGATGGGTAAACGGCAAAAATGTGACATTCATCATGGCAACAAGCATTCATTTTGCCTCCAAACCACACAATTAGCACTTAAAAACATTACATGGCTGAACTGCTAAAATATATGGAAATCTCATTTAAAGCCATTACAACGTATACCAAAAATAAAAGTTACCACTCTTCATTCATCTGCAATTCTCAGGTCACGGTTTCATAAGTGGCAATCCTTGATCCTGGTGGGAAGGAAAAAAAAGTTGGACAAACTTAAATGCTGGCGAAATCTCAAAAAGGGCACTGGGTAGTCAATTGTGCGGTTGCTTCAGATAGTCAGTGTCAGCAAACCAATTTGGTCTGATGGGTAAACGGCAAAAATGTGACATTCATCATAGCAACAAGCATTTTGCCTCAAATATACTTAGCACTTAAAAAAAACTAAGCTGCAAACAATTGAAAACCTCACATTTAAAGCAATTACAATAAGTACACATTATTAAATTACCAGTTATTATTCATCTGCTCCTCTCATGTCACCCTTTTCCAGTGGCAATCCCTGGACCTGGTGTGAGGGGAAAAGGAAAAAAATAAAGGATAAATTTAATGCTGGTGAAATCGCAACCGGGGTACGGGGTAATCAACTGTGCAGTTGCTTCAGACAGTCACAGTGTCAACAACCCAATTTGGTCTGATGGGTAAACGGCAAAAATGTGACTCATCATGGCAACAAGGATTTATCAAAACCACAATTATCACTTAAGGAAATAAAACAAAATGGCTGAACTTTGACATTACAAACTAGCATTTAAAGCCATTACAGTGTGTATAATATATAGTTACCAGTCTTCATCTGCACTTCTCAGGGCACCCTTTTTCTAGTGGTAATCCTAAGACCTAGTGGGAAAAACAGAAGGATAAATTTAATGCTGGCAAAATCTCAAACAGGCTACTGGATAGTCAACTGTGCTGTTGCTTCAGACAGTCAGTGTCAGCAACCCCAATTTGGTATGATGGGTAAACGGCAAAAGTGACATTCATCATAGCAACAAACATTACATTGAAAGCTATTATTATACATATATTTTTAAATTACCATATTCATCTGTACTTCTCATGTCTCCCATTTCCAGTGGCAAACGTTATGATCCCTTCTACTGGCTGTAGCAATCTTCATCTGGCTCCTTTGTGATTCAACAACAACAAAAATGATAGATTTAATTTATAATTTAATATCAGCTCTGCTTTGCAGTTAAAATCTTCCAAGAAAAGAAACGACAAAAGGAATAGACCATTCTAAAAAGACAACCAATTACCCATGTTGTGTATCAGCTATTGATTTTGTGCTTCAAATAAGCTGAGGGAAGAGCCAGTAAATGAAAAACTCAAAAAGATGACTGATGAACTAGAGGTCAAAAGGCACATGTAACACAGCTTGAGAGTAGACCCTCCCACAGCAGCACAAAGGCCTGGGCAGCGCTAGTTCAACTCAAGGTCAGGACCTTTACCAAGACCACAGCACCTCCAGTGAGTCAAAACCCTGATTACCAAATCCAGGTCATAGAAGACCATTCCCAAACCAGCCAGGCCACACAGGGGACAGCAGACCAATGCCGGACAGAGCACAGTCCTGCCGACAGCAGAGCAAATGGCAAAGGAGCAATTTATCACCAGATCTGGGACACTCACCTGCCAAAATGATTTATAACAGTCCTCATGGGATACTTCAATCCTTTTTTAGGATAGGTCATGATTACAACATGATTTGGCAAAATCATGTCAATTTGTGTAGAAACAGTGACCTTTACAATATTGATCATACACTTCCAGAATGAATTTAATACATCCTCTCAAAACTTCTGTATCCACTAGGGGTTCAAAATTAAGAGAAATTCAAGGTCTCTTCGCCACATAATTGCAAAAATGCTCATTAATAAATCTACACGAGAAACTAAAACTATAGTGAATAAAATTAACCGAACTTTTAGGAATTATCCTATTTCGAAAAGGAGAACTTGGAAGTAAAATTTACGGAGACGTACTTTTTTCCCCTCCAGGTAACGTAATGCAAGGATCCTCATTATGCCACTCATGTTATATAGAGCAGTGTTTCCCAACCTTTTTTTAGTCGCGGCACCCTTTGGAAATTTTAACAAACTTGTGGCACCCTACAAAATTAATTTTGTCACAACATTTGAATTTCTAACATCGATATGATAATTTGAAAAGTATAGATATTCGTTACAACAGGGAAGAACTGCAGAATATAATGCCATACAGATATTTTTAATATTATTATACTGTACTACATCGATGTTTCCTGTCGGCTCAATTTTTGAGTGGACTTCGTTGTTCCGATGAGCATGAACGGTATGAGTGGAGCACTCACATGGGCCGTGAGCGACTGAGCGGGGCACACACACGCATAGAGCGGGATAAAACGCAGATAATAATATATATTATTATATAATAGATGCTTTTTCGAACATTTTAGCAATTTAGAAATATTAAAAAATGATTTTTTTTTACACGGCACCCCCGTTGGGAAACACTGATATAGAGTGACTCGTTCCTAACGATTCATGATAACGCTTGGGATTGATAAAACAAGAATGCTTCAAATTCCAGTTAATAAAGACTAATTGTGCTTCTACGGAACGATGTAGCAAGTACGTAACGTATTTTATAAATTATTCTCGCGCGTGCTAACCACGTGGCAAAGCCAGGATGCAAAAATCTCTACACGAGCCTATAACCTCATGAACAGTTCTACCAATATCTGCGATAATACTTTCACTTCTGTTAAAACGCATCAACACAATAATTAATCGAAGTACATTTACCTCAAGTTATACTGCAACGTGTAAAATGTGTGACCAGCTCCTTCCGCTCTTGGGAAGAAAGGATGTGGCGTATGCGTACTTCGCGTTTTAAAGGGGAACTTCCTAGTAGGAGTAGCGCATGCGTGTTTGGGTTTTACTGAAGTCTTGACGCGCTATAGTCAAGTATGATAAAACACTTACAGTTGGCTGGAAGTGCTTAAATCTTGCATACGTTTATGACACGTTTATATTTAAAGCACTATCAAGAGAGTAATTTGTTTTTTGTTTATATTTAGAGCGCTCCCAACAGTTTTCAATTAATGAAAAACCTTATGAAATTACAAAACTTAAACGTCTAAAAAAAAGTCCAAACCCGTGCATTTAATAATCCTATCCAAATAGTTTGCCTCTCTCAAGCATATTCAGTTAAAAGTAAACATTACAGTAAACAGATAGAGAAACATTTAAATAAACAGATAAAGATGATCCATTTAGGCACATATTAGCCTATTTAGATCAATATGCGTATATAAACTTTAAATCTAAAGCCTACACTTTTAAACCTCTTTAGAGGGTTTAAAAGGCTTTACAGAGTTGACATTATTCAGTACTTCCCACAGACTTTCAGTGACATCCTGATTAAGAGTTTTAAAGGTTTTTAAAATGTTTCCATGAGCAAATTCACAGCATGCTGCCATCACATGAGATGTATTAGAACTGTAAATTAAGACAATAATTAAAAATGAATTAAAATCTTCGATATTAAAAATGTTCAGTGCATGTCAAATAGGCCTATTTTAATTATAAAGTTTATGTTGGGAACACATTACACCTATTGCACATTGTGAAGGGTTTAGAAAAGCATCGATAATAATAACATTAATAATAAACTTGAGATCAGTGTAATTTTTAAGAATGATTTTATTTACTATTCCACGTGAAGGAGGGAAGGGAGGAGAAAAGGGGATGATGATGCTATTGTTGCGATTCTGACAGACCACTTCACATGACGAATGTTAGGTTATTCACACATGCATTTAGTGCAAATGTAGTAACAGAAAGTGCATAGCCGACAGCTCAAGCATAACAGCTCATTAACCCAACACACGGAACTTCAGACAAAGTACAAGTACAGAACTGCAGAAACAGAATTCTGAGCAACACACAGTTTAAAAGAACACAATTTGTTTAATATTTCAATCTTATTTACATATTTGAAATAATTAGGATATATTAATATGCACAATACTCAGTTGTCATATGGCACAATAATGATAATCATTTCAATGAATTTGCTTCATTTGCCGCGTAAAACAACTTTGTTAAATTTTACAGACTGCAACAAAATTACTAAAACAACAACTCTATTTTTTTTACCTTCATTTTTTAATCATCTCCAAAAGTCTTATGTGCAAACGATCTATGTTTGAGATGATGACGAAGATGCCCCTTGATTTTCATTTGAGTTACCCAGGAACTGGCCAGTGGCACCGATATATAATCTTGAACGCATTGGCCATTTCTGAAAGACAAAAGCGATTAAGAGAAACACTTAATCAGCTCTTTAAAAAAAATGAATTGTCATGCGTAAAGTGGATATTTTCAAGCAGACTAAACCTTAACCTTAAAGTCTCCTAATCAAAACTTTTAAAGACTAAATACAAATGTTTTAAATTAATTAAAATGTAAAAAATCGCACATTTGCGATATTTTCGGCTTCTATTTCATGCTAAAATATCATTCGACTTACTTTCACAGGATGTAAGTAGCCATCTCCCTTAAGTGAGTTCAAAGCTTCAGTTTGTTTTGTGTTGTCCTCTTCCGTCCCTTCCTCTTGCAAGGTTCTTGTTAAATGCGCTATGTATGTGGTTGCCAATATCAAGACGTCGAGTTTGGAGAGTTTGGTGTCCGGGGGCACCGACGGTAATGTTCTCTGTAGCTCGAGGAACGCATGTCTGAGCGTCTGCACGCGACTCCTTTCGCGCGCTGCGTTGGCTGCCGCAGGTCTTCCTCTGCCACCGAGGCCGCTAGACGGGACCACCGTGGAGTGGGACAGGGCTTCTATGCGCCGGCTGTCCGCTGAGAGCGTGTCAGGACTGGGGCTCGAGTTAGGGCTTGATGCGGGACTGTCATCCATAACTGTCACAGAACCAATGCCATCCATATGGATCGACTGTCTTCCAACCATTGAAATCACTTCTTAACCTGGTTAAAACAGTACATTAAAAAAAACACACACTTAAATAGCCAAAAATGCACTTTTATTTCAGTATTGGAGAATAACTTGTCAAAAACAGGTTTAAGCCTATGCACTCATCAAAACTTTTATAAAAACATTTTCCTCAAGTGAGCCAAAAATCTCATGGCCAGTATGAGTCATTCAATGTCAAAACAATAAATAATTGACGCCTACAGTGTTTGATTGTCATTAGGCTAAATTATTTCTGCCAAGAACATGCCGTTTTAATACAACCATTTTAAGTATAATTGTAGATTGCATTGTTATGAGAAGTTATTAAAATGTAAAAAACATACCTGTATTATTGTTGTTAAAAGTGTTGTCCTAAAAACACATCTAGGCATGAAAAGCTCCACAGCTCGGTAAAAGTCCCGTTTAAAATAATAGTTCCTCTCGTTGCAAAAATATATATAACCAGTCGTGGTGCTGCGCGTGAAAGGTACGGATATATGTCCGCGCACACTCAGCGTCCTCACCTGAATGACTGCGTAAAGTCTCCTGAGCCTCTAATTTATCGGGAAACACAAAGAGCTGACAAGTGTTTCACTCCGGTGCAATTAATCAAAAGCCTTTAAAACTCTGGCAACTCGAGCCGTTCTCTACTGTTTTCCCTTCGCATCGGTCGGTATAGGAGGGAACAGTCCATTTTCCGACGCCAGAGGCAGCATTTTTTGGTCCACCCAAAGTTGTTTTGCAAACCACAGCTTCTGAATATTATATGAAATATTGTTTATTCAAGAAATAAATACTTTATTCCCATTGATTTGCTTTGTTTGGTGAAAATTAATGTGGTTTGTGAGACCCAAGCATTCAACAATATAATAATTTTCAAGCTGCCAAACAGATTCTATCAGATCAACTGCACGGTGCTCTCGACAATTTAACTCTTCTTTAACATTTTAAAAGGGATATTGATATTATAATTTTGAGCCGCAGACATCAGCTTCATTTCCTGGGACAAAGCCAATAAATAAACTCTAAACACTGCAATCAACTGGTATACTTGAGGAAATTCTTGTGAGACTCCTAAATTAATCACTCTGTTTGCCGCAAACGGAGATGTGGGAGAATTAATGAATGGAATTATTCATAACATGTATATCTGAGACTGTTCTTAATAAACATTGTTTTTGTAAGGATGAAGTAACAGTATTGCCCCCAGGCCAATAATTATGAAGCAGAGCAAATGAGGTTAAGTAAGCTTCTCTGTCTAATTACTCTACATCTTTCAGAGGTTATACCCTGGTGTAGATATTAGACTCACCCAAATACGCAGGAATTGCATTCATGCATTACTGTACTCTGCGCGCATATATGTCTAAACATTATTATAAAATCAGTTTTATATTTCATATTAATTTACCGTTCCAGTGTAGAACGCAGTGTCCATGATGTTGATAAGCTTGCTGGATAATGTGCAAATTGAAATGAAGTCTCAGTAAAATGAAAAAAAAAAAAGGTAGCCATGAATCTAAATGATAAAGCTACAATTAGTTTTGAATGTAAACGACTTCTTTACTTTTTAAATTAGTAATTTAATGCTTTAAATTAGATCATTTCATTAGCTAAATTAAAGCATGATGCAGTGAGACTGGAGTGATAATTTGTTAAAATACTCCCCATTCTTGAACAGAGAAATATAATAAATATAAAAAAATATAAAAACATGAAAAATACCCAAAACAATCAAAAAGTATATTTGATCACGTAATTAACAAATAATTAAAAAGCATAATCAAACCTTAAAAACAGAAAATGTAACTACAGATGTAGTAGTCTACACTTTCACAGGCATTTTCATTGACATAACATCTCACTCTGAGATTTTGCTCTTACCTAATGTAACTGGAAAAAAATGAAATCTATTCAATATTTTGATCATATTTAATGAATAATATTACCTAATGTATGTATCTTTGCATCCTAAAGAATAATGTACAAAACATGATGGTATTTAAAAATACTCTTCAACATCTAGTAAATTTATTACAAACAAACACACAGACAAATATTTTAAAAAGTTCGGAATTTCAAACAGAATATGAAAATGCAAATTAGGCAGCGTAAAAGAGAGTATATTGTTGCACGATGGAGAAGCTGCTCAGAAATTCACATTTTTAATCAGTAGTTTCAGATTTTCAGAGTCTACCAGTCCTCACTGGAATGTTTATCCCTCTTGACCTGTGAACACACCAGAACAGTCATGAATTAAATGAAATAAATTAAATTAAATGCCATAAATATTTGTTGACATACTATTTTGTTTACTTTCATGCTTTTGTGTTTTTATTTATAGTAAAAAAAACAGCCATGAACATAATAAAATGCTGGCACACAGTTTAAAATATGCTTCTGTAAATTATCACTAAAAATCGTCTGTTACTGGACCCCTGTAATAACATAGTAAACAGCTAATTAGGGCTTTACACAACTGTCATTGAGCATTATCATTCCTATTACTCACACATTAGTACTCATGCTCAAAAGAGTTTTTTCTTATAAGTACAGAAACATTCAGTTCATATTTATTGTAACTACATCAACAAATCATTTCTGCATTTCAAAGGCCACACACTGATAAATCAACTGAGATGATTAGCTATAGGATTAACATGTTTAGGACGTCAGACATCAAAGGGGTATGATTTGTGCAGTGCAACTGTAGATGATGTCACATTACACAGCACAGCACAGAACTATGGTTAACCTCAGGCCAGTTCTAAAGGAGAAAGCTGTTCATTTGCATGGGTGGGAAAATAAGAATCCTACAACTTGACAAATAGCAGGCATTTATCCAGCATCTCTGAAGGCAACCTGCAACTTTACTCTGATAGCATTTATCTCAGAATTTATTTCCTTTTTTGAATATACCACGATTTGTAAGTATTTGATAAAATAATAATAATAATAAAAAATGGAATATTAAAAAAAAAAAAAATGTTCATTGGCCCCAGATTATGTAAAGAATAAGAGAGTCTTGTTAACAGCTCAGTAGACATTTTGACTGTTCATACCTTTTTCCTCTGCTGTCTCCATGTACTCGAAATGTAACGCCGGGCTTCCCATATTCTGACGGCTTACTCAGAGAGCTGCTGCGTTCATGGGCAAAGGGATGTTGGGGGCCCACGCGAAAATCAGCTACAGCAAAACCCGGGTTAGTCACTCATTGTCATAGAACTGACACAAGAGATATGCAAGGCTTACTTAACCACATGCTGATGATATACAATGGCAGAATGCAGAAATGTGTTAAGAGAAAGAAAATCTTGAATACTGTTAATGACTGGAAAATTAGAGAACAAAAGGAAAGTGTCACTGCAATGTACTCAGCAAAGAAATTCAGTAAATGAAATAACATTGACATGTTAGGGCACTTTTATATAAAGTCATATACTTAACATATTTAACATTTATTTTAAGTTTCTATAATTCATTAATGTAAATAATTGTAAATAATTTAATAAAAAATATAAAGAAAACTGTAGAAAAAAAGCAGCAAATATTCATACTTGTAAGTGGATTTGCGATTCGTTCTTTGACGTCTTTTCCATCATCTAGTTTCTTCTTTGCGTCTTTTGAAGCTTTCCAGTTGATTAGAAACTGCCTAGACAGCTCATTTATTTGTTTTCCATCAAGATCTTCTAAATATCAAGAAAAACATACAGTTTCTGTGCATTTCACTAAATCATTTTATAAAATTCATAAACACAGTACAAAAATAACTGTTATTAAAATAACTGTAATTAAAATGTTAAATATCATTAAAATGTTAGTAAAAATGATAAATACAAAAATACATGCAATACAATAAAATATAAAGTAACAAAATAAATGACAAGAATAAAAAAATCATTAAATTACATAATGAATGACAAAAAGGTAATTCAGAGTTATTCAGAAGGTCAGTGATTCTTTCACCATAAATAATAACATTTTAACTCCATACTAGGTCTGCCAAATCGAAAAATCACATCCAAAATAAAAGTTTGTTTTTAAATAATTTATGTGTGTGTATTGTGTATTTTTATATGTATATATAAATACACACACATACTTGTATATATTTAAGAAATATTTACATGTGTGTGTATTTGTACATATTAAAATACACAGTACACACACATTAATTATGTAAACACAAACTTTTATTTTGACTGCCCTACTACATACTCATCACAAGTTAGCTATGCTATTTCTCACCTAGAATTGTGCAGGCAGTTATTAGTCTGTCTCTGTATTTAGGTTTGTGACACACAGGATTTCTATTCAGATCCAGTAGCCGCAGCTGAGACCATTGGCTGAACACTGTCTCTAACTCCTGAAAGCATAAATAAAGGCATTACATTTTACTGTTAATCAGTATAAAATAAAAATAATTATTAGACACAGTAAAGGACAGTAGCATCTTCTCCAAATTTTCCAAAAATGCTGTTGAATGCTGGAAAAATCTTGTAACACTAAAGAGATTTTGCAGATTTAACAGAAGATGTGCATGGTTAAAAATGATCAGAGCATCATATTTAAGACAAAGCATAAAAATATATATTTTTTAAATCAGAGGGCAAAAAGTATAAACAAGACATCAGCTTGTTTTAATAAATACTGTCACTCGGACTGCGTGACTAACAAGTTCCCCTGGGCAGTAGTCCTCAAGCATGTTGCCTGCAGTGTATGTTTATCTAAGGACACATTAATCCAGGCTGGAAATATGAATACTCTCTGGACACGTTCTGATTGTTCATTGCCTTCCTGTCTCAACTAAAGTGCTTCCACTTTTCAGTCCGCGTGCAATCAGCTCTAGCGGGACCCCAGCGAGCCGCGCGCTCTCAGGCTTTGATAAATGATCGTGTCAGGTCTGTCACTCTGAGGGCTTGGCTGGGAACTGCCCAGCGCCAAATTGCCCTCCCAAGCGCGGGAGTGCTGAATGCAGTCCTGACTGGGCTCTTTCCAGCCCCACACTGGGTTAATGATGGCCAGTTATGAACCTGTATTTGACCAGCGCTTCGATCCCTATCAGCACTGTCTGGCCGTGCGCCACTAACAGCCTCTGCAGTACCCATTTGTCACCCGGCTGACTGCCTGTCATAATCTATTTTAAAAATCCATAATGTTTCCTCTGGAATTGGACCAAACTGCGTAAGGGAGGAATTGATCCTTTGGGTGCTGTCGCCGCTGAATCAATAGTGGCAAAGGGGTTGTATAAATTAAAGGAGATATCTGCTAAACATGAAAGCTTCCTCTGACACATGGATCACTATTATCGGTGGCAGTTGCTGAGAGGATTGTCTTTTGAGCTGTTGGACAAAGTTACCAAGCTGCTTTTCCACAGTGGTTTTCGGAAAGTGTTCCTTAACCAATTTTTTTAGTCACTGAATATGTGATATCAATAGACTGAAATCACTTTTCCAGAAAAGGTTACTTTTCAGCTTTAGTTTCACTAAATGTTTGGCTCAAATGGGTTTTTAATACAAGACTGAAGTTATATGGGGCACTCAGTGTATTTCAGAGGAAAATCAGTTCACTAAGGAAGGAGGAAAACTTGTGCTTGTTTAAATTGTCAGCAGAAGCTGTCCCTGGAGACTGGCCCGCTGATTTGTTGAATAATTCTGACCCTGTGCAAGTCTGGAGACTGCTGGAAGGATTTGTAGGATTAGGTTTTTGCACGGCTCTCCCTGTATCATTTCACACTTCATAGAAACATACAACTTTGTCATGTCTAAACAGAACAAAAAAAATCTTTATATGTATCTTTTTTTATAGAGAAAATCATATTTACCTGTATGTCCTGTAGCTGGTTATCGGTAGCATAAAGATGGGTCAGTTTTCTGAGAGGGGCCAAGTCCCATAGTTCATCAATGTTATTTTTGCTGATATTTAAAATGCACAGAGTTTCCTGAAAGAATTCAAATACAATATTAATATAATTCATAATGCACTTTACATTTAAAGCCAGTATCACTGTGTTAGTAAAAGGAGAGCATTTAGGAATCTTTTGTCAGGGAAAAAATTCGGAGCACTTACACTTGTAATTTCATTAATTATCAAAATAAACAAAATTCCCAACTTTTGGTTTGTTTTCCCATAGCCTTGGCAGTTAACACTCCCTGCTGATTTGTCAGAAAAGGAGGCAGCCACAGAGACCTCTTTAACCTCATCAAATTTTGCACAGAACTGCTTTAATACACATCTTGGTCCATGAGTCCTACGTCTCTCATCTGATTCTGACAGCAAACTCACAGGACACAGTGCTATATCAATCTAAATATAAAGTGCACTAGATTGTACAGTAGATACCATGAAACACTCTCTGTAAGGCTTTTCACTGAGGTGAATGTTAAAGCGACGAGCTACTCACAGAGAGGCTAGATATGGAACGGAGGTCAAAGACCAGTTTTTCTCCACGGGGTAGTTTCTGACCTTCCACATGCAGCTCCTTTAGGCTTTTCAGCTCATCTAATCCCTCCACCACAGTGATGCTGTTTCCTCCCAAGAACCTCAAATATAGAAACATTAGTAGTTAGCGGTAACACTCATGGCCTTTTAGTAGTGCTGTATGTATATCAATGGAAAACATTAACGTCACAGTTCAAATTTCAGTGCAAGCAGGAATGTGTTAATATGCTTGTACTTTCATATACTTACAGTTTGGAGAGTTTATGCAGAGAAGAGAGGTTCTCTATGCAAGATATATTGTTATTTTGCATGTATAAGTGAGTAAGGTTTGAGGCAAACCCCAAGTTGCAGATTTGTGATATTTGGTTGTCATATAGGTACAGGACTGTGAGGTTTCTGCACCTTGATAGATCATCCTACAAGTTAAAAAGGGGAAAAATAATCATTAAACAAACTGCTCAAAAGTTTGGAATCAATCATTTTTATTTTTTATGTTTTTAAAAGAAGTTTCTTATGCTCACCAAGGCTGTATTTATTTGATCAAAAATACATTAAAAAAAAGTAATATTGTGAAATATTATTACAATTTAAAATTAGGCTACTGTTTTCTGTTTTAATATACTGTATTTTGAAATGTAATGTATTCCTGTGAGAGCAAAGCTAAATTTTCAGCAGTCATTACTCCAGTCTTCAGTGTCATGTGATCCATCAGAAATCATTCTAATATGCTGATTCAGTGCTCAAGAAAAAAAATTCCTATTATTATCAATGTTATAAAGTTGTGGTGCTTAATATATATATATATATACATGTATATATATATATATATTAAGCACCACAACTTTATAACATTGATAATAATAGGAATTTTTTTTCTTGAGCACTGAATCAGCATATTAGAATGATTTCTGATGGATCACATGACACTGAAAATTCAGCTTTGCCATCAAAGGAAAAAATTACAATTTAAAGTATATTGAAAGAAAAACAGTTATTTTAAATTGTAATAATATTGTAAAAATTTTTACAATAATATTTTTTAATTTGTGAGCATTTCAAATTTATCGCAAGTGCATTTGTCAACAATTTTGGTGTGCGTTGAGTCGCCACTTGATATATACTGCAGAATCAGGGGCTTGATATGAAATCATTTCTAGTCTATTAATCTGTTTTTTTAAATGTCTATATAAGAACAGAACATATGTGTGTCTGTGTACATTACTGCTGTGGTGTATGGAAGCATTTGCCTTGGCAGGGCGCTTTACGCTTTCATAACAGCTCTTTTAATAAATATTGTTGCCTGAAACACATCGTCCTCGAGGAGGCTTGTGAATATAAAAATGTCACTGTAAACATGAAAAGTATCATTTGATATTTACACAAGTTTGTCTTAGACCAGTTTCATGGTCCAGTTAAGCTCCATTCTCCTTTAAGAGCAAGCCGTCTGGGACAAATGGTGAATGATTGCTTTACGCTCAATGAAATTCTTCCGGATGGAAAATGTATCATTCCTTGATATTCGGCTGTGAGTTCCTACTGACGTCCGTCAGATGATGTCAGAGTGACAGATTTTTTAACAAAATGAGTTACTGTCACTTTTGATCAATTTAATGCATCTATGCTGAATAAAAGCATCTTAAAAAAGCATCAAAAATCTTATTGACCTCAAACATTTGAATGGTACTGTAATATTTAATTTAATGGAAACTAGAATATTAAATAGAATTTTGATATATATGAACTCAAAACTTACAATTTCCTCTATACTTTTGTTTGAGAAGTTGAGATGGGTCAGTTTCTTCAGATACTGCTGGAGAGATTCACTTCTGCAGGTTTTTGAGTAATTGCTTGATTTTGCGATCAGATGCACTGTTAGACGGACCATAATGACTCAGTGTGCAAAAATATCACAGGATAGATTTATCTTCTGCAGCACAGCATGTCAAGGGAAGAGGGAGATTTATGAGAAAGCCAAAAACACTAAAAACAATGCAAGAACTTATGATCGAATACATTTTAGAGCACTGACCTCTAAATACGTTTCTATATCGATTTTAATCAGGGTTAGAATGTCTTTAAATGGGGTTTAAAGGTATAATTGATGTGGTAACCATTATTTCTTTGATGATATCTACTTTAGAGACAGCATAGTCCCTTAAACCTTTGCCAAAATGCATTATTTTTGAATAGCGGGAACGAGGCCAAAGGTGAAATAGACATGTGACCTGACCTAAGATTATCATAAAGTGAGATTATCATAAAGTAAGCTTGACCCTGCATATCTGCATGCTGTATTATATAAAAACAGTATATAAAGCCAGACCTACAGTAACAAGACCTCCTTGAAAAAGACCTTGGAAGATATTTTACTCCATATGCTGAGTCTTCTCTCTATATTGTCTTGTCAACCACAGACGTTGAATACTAGGACAGAAGTAAAGGGAATACATACATCAACACATGACAGCACCATCAGAAATCATTCTAATATGCTGATTCAGTGCTCAAGAAAAAAAATTCCTATTATTATCAATGTTATAAAGTTGTGGTGCTTAATATATATATATATATACATGTATATATATATATATATATATATATTGATCTCAGAGCAGCAGACAATGGGGAGATGACATGGAGAGCCTCTTAAAATCAATAACTTTCTGTGGTTAAACTCCAGGGACCTGGATGGAGACAGCAGTTTGCCAATCATTATAATATATTGCCATATATTTAACAATATATTGCAAATTTACACTGTTATTACCAATAAACAAAGACAAGCAACTTAGGCCACTGTTGGCATACAATTATAAACGCAAACAGAAAATGCACATACTTAGATACAAGCTGATACAGTAGAAATAAAATGAAACTGCACTGCATCTTACCTTAATGCACAAATGTTATGCATGAACTGTAGTCAGCTATAAACGCAAGGTGTTTTGCTGCTGTAAACTCTCTTTTGCGTCTTGTCTTGGCTTTGTTTAGGAAGCGAGAGCTGATGTTGCCATGGCGACGAGACGCGAGGGCAAAGTCCCCTTGCACGCGCCAGAGTTGTTTCGATGCGCAGTTCAAATGCGGCATGACACATTCTCAACACAAATTTGTTTTAAATTCGGTGTAAATTTTAGAACACGATGTATATCGCTTGTATTGTTGTGTGAAAATGTTAAAGAATGTTTTTATTGATGTTGTTAAAAGTAATTTGGCTTTAGTAATTAATTCAAGCTAGCGCAGGGTTTTGTTACAAGTAATTTAAGATGTAATTAACTTATTAATTAAATAAAGGAAGAAGACAAATGAACGGACGAAGTCTATGATTTTGATCTTAAACCTACGCAAATTTTATAAAAAATTCAAAAGAGTTTTGTTTAACATTCCTTATTTGGCTGAAGGGGATATATATGTGAAGAGATTATATTACACACTAAAATACATGTGCGCAGAGGATTAGAGAGAAACACAATTGTTGAAAAAGAAAAACTAGATTTAAACCAAAAACTAGGGCCACCCTTGAGGCTTAAAGTAGACAAGACCCTTAAGCATTTACATGTTGAAATCAGAAACCATGTTTATCAGCTTCAGCTGGAAGAACTTAAAATTTCCCCTCTCTCATTTCAAGCTCAAACCGCTGTCCCTAATAATGCATATCAGTTCTAGAGAAGTGCGGTGGGCTGAGTATTGTTATATATGGTGGAGGAATGCACTTCCTGAGACTGAGTGACTTGCCTCCATTTATGTATGCAGAATACTTGGTAGAAAGGAAATGTTACTTTGGTTGGTTTAGGAACATAGAGGGGGAGTTCAGCCCTTTTCAGACTCTCCTCTGGGGCATTGAACATGTTTCACCTCCTTACTACCATGCTTGTTGAGATTATTATTATATGGTCCAAAGAAAACATCAGTGATACCAAATATCTGGAGGTCATTGGTCCCAAAGGCTAGTTTAACATTAGCCTTGTGATCAATAGTCACTGCTGATTATTTGTGCTCATCACTCGGATATATTCTCTTAATCACATATCTATCATAATTCCTATTATTTTAAAACATTTTCTCTGGGTTCCGCAAATAAAGTGGAATTCCAAGTAATTTAAGAAGACTCTTGCTAATAGAAAACATACCTTAAAATTGAGTTAATGGATTTGGCTGATGTTAGTTCATTCATGGAAAACATAATATACTTAGACTTAGTTATATCTCATCTCATTTATACTCATCTGCTTTTTTCTTCTTTAAATATGCTCATCTGGTGATGATTATAAGCTTCATTTGTAATTCTAATGGGTGAAATACAGAGCATGGGGGATTTTTGATGACTACGATTCCGGAATAATTCACGGAAAAATGATATTTTGCTAAAAATGTACTCTCAGGCCATCTAAGAGATACGTGAGTTAGTTTCTTCATCGGAACAGATTTAGAAAAATGTACATTATATCCCTTGTTCACCAATGGATCCTCTGCAGTGAATGGGTGCCGTCAGAATGACAGTTTTACAGCTGATGAAAACATCATAATAATCCCCAGTAATTCACAAGACTAAAGTTCATCAATAACATCTTCTGAAGTGGAAAGCTGCGTGTTTTAAGAAACAAATACATCATTCACGCATTTTAACCGTTTCTGCTGGCCTAAATACATTAATTGATGGACTGGAGTCTTGTGGATTACTTGTGGATTATTATGATGTTTTTATCAGCTGTTAAACTGTCATTCTGATGGCACCCATTCACTGCAGAGCATCCATCGGTGGTGAGCAAGTGTTGTAATGCTGAATTTCTCCAAATCTGTTTCTTATGAACAAACAAACTCATCTGCATTTTGGATGGCCTGATGATGAAAACATTTTCAAGAAATTTTCATTTTTGGCTGAACTATTCCTTTAATTAATTTAATCCTCTATGGAATAAAACATTGGTCGCCATTGCAAGAGCAAAAAAATATACACTTACAACTTCAGGCCAAAATCCACAAATTGCACAAGGCATAATTGAACAGACTGATGCTTTCCGGAACATAACAGCAAATCTTAAAATTAGCACAATGATGTGGGGTACAAAAAAGTGCATAAATACGAATCAGCACTGTTGTCTGTAAGAAAATGCAAACACGTGTGTGTGCATGAAACCACACAGGCGTTGAGTGTCTGCAGCGATAAAGAGCAGACACGCAGAGCTGAATAGACTCCACTGTATATTGTATCGAGCTCCCGCTTCTGTGATGCATCAGTGACAGGCAACAGTGTTATGCTCAGAATCCTGAAGGATTGTGTAAAACACAGAGACAACCTGCACAGGGTCGTCCTGACAGATGCGCTGCGGCCATGCCTGACTATGTTTATCTTTGGGCTGCTGAATTTGTTATTCTATTATGTAATGCTATGACTGGCAAATATGAAAATGACCTCTTGTGGAGCACTGTGGTTTTTGTTAAGTTTAATGTTGAATACTGCTGTTACAGCTCCTGACACAAGCTGTGGGAAATGGGAATGGAGCGGTACCGTGTTACACACTGAACCCAGAGGAGAATACATTTCAAACATCTGCTAACATACAGTGCAAAGGAAAACTAATTTGTCTTGATCTAAAGGACAGCTTTGACGATGAGCTGTGCGAGTTATAATTTCAGACAAGACTTTAGCAGTAAATGTGATGCAATATTTTGAGGACAAATTTAAAAAATGAAGTTTAAGAAAAGAAGCAAAAACACCTGATGTCTGTCAACTAATGAACCCGAACAGCATTTATTTCTTTGTTTAAACAAATGATAAATGATGCAAACATTCTCTTTGAATCTTTCAAAGCAGAATCGTAACGAAAAACACATAACTAAGCAAACACTGCATGTGAAGTCATCTAACTTCAGTTCCTTCCATGTTCAGTTGGCAGATGTGTTCACTTGATTGAAGAGTTTATCTTTGATAACTTGGGACATCAAACCATGAATTGCTTCAATGGTTGTCTTGCAGCTGAAAAACAAAGAAAGATGTTTTATGTTGTTGTTTTTATAAAAATGTGTTAACGTATTTAAAAAAATGTCATTAGTTGCAATACACTACAAGCCAAAAAGTGGGGTCTCTTGCACCTAAACAGACACTCAAGTCACCTATGAGCTCACACAAAATAAATATAAATAAATGTTAAATAAAATAAATAAATAATCTTTTATAAAGAAAAAGAAAATAATAAATGTGAAGTCAGTATTCTATTCTCAATACCCAAAAGAAACAAATTTACGCCCAATTAATCAATCAATGAATCAATTAAACTAAAATAAATACATCATATTTTATAAATAAAAAATAATGATGGGAAAAGCAAAAAAAGTCATCTATTTTTATCCAGCTTTATAAAGTTGATTTTATATTCATTCCAAAAGTCTAAAACAACAACCTTTTTTAAAATTTTATTCAAGCAAAAAAAGGAAAACACATATTACCTCACACAAAATAAATATGAATAAATGTGAAATCAATATTCTATTCTCAATACTCAAATGATACAAATTTACCCTCCTGCCATATATATATATTTTCAATAAAAAAATAATGGGAAAAGAAACATTGTTTTACATTTTTTTCATGTAGCTTTATGCATTTAATTTTTATATATACTCAAATGTCTGAAACAAAATTAACATCCTAAAAATGTTCTTAATTAAAACAAAAATCAACCTGGTTGATATGTTGTAGGACCTACTTATAATTTTATTTAGAACTGTGATTGTCTATAAAGCACTTTTTTGTGTGCATGACATTTGGAAATAAATAAACTTGCCTTGGCTGGTTTGTTTATTTCCACTTATTCATAATTGATAATATATTAAGAAAGGGAAAATTTAATACTGAATTGATAGGGATTGTATTACCTGTCACGTGTT